GGGCCGTGTTCATGTACATCGTTGGGCGCGTACGTCCTTTTGTGGGCTCCCTATGCACGCACGCGTATGTGACTGGGCCCCAGCCAGCCCACGCCGCTCCTAAATGGCCCGCTTGCCTGCGAACGCGCGCGTCTCGTCTTGTCTCGTCGCACATGTTTGGGTTTCGGCTTCCGGGGGGGCTTCCCGTGGCCGCAGCCGGAGGCAGCTCGAGACATTGGGAGCCCAGCGACGCCTCCAGCTTTTCAGCGCCGCCCCACGGCGCGCTTCGTGCGCAACAGATGGGGGTCGAGCGCCGCCCCAAGAAATCCGCAAGAGCCTCTTGAGACACAGTCGGGCCGCTGAAAAAGGAACCCTTTTTCGTTGGGGAGGGGTTCAGTGCTCCTTAATCGTTTTACAGTTTCCCTTAGGTTATCTATGGGAAATCGAAGTCAAATATCTGGAAACAGGGTCTCGTTGCTTATTAAGGGTTCCTTGTGGCAGCGTTTCGATTGTATGTTCTGCTCGTTGCATGTTGTTCTAACCTGCAGGAGGCGGGGGGAGGCGAGATGAGCACGGGTACAGCCCGCGTGTTCTTCTGATTCAAATTTCTATCGCGGATGCCCACGGCGAGTCACCGCCGCCCCCTACCTTCCAGGATACGCATGGATGGTCAAACGGTTGGGTCAAGTTAGGCCACACTATTGGGCCAGGCGTTCCCCCAGCCCTTGTAGAGGAGGAGGAGGAGGAGGAGGAGGAGGAGGAGGAGGAGGAGGAGGAGAGAGACTGGAGGATGACAGAAGGATGATGAGACCTCTTGGGAGCTTCTTGGGTTATTCTTGGGGCGCCTGGGGGCCACTCGGAGGACTCTTGGGGGCCTCCTTGGGCGTATTGGGGGCCGTTGTGTGTTCCTTGTGGGCCTCTCTGGCCGTCTTGCGGCGCTCCTGGCCTGTCTGACGCCGTCGGAAGCCGTCTTGGGAGCCTCTCTGGGCCGTCTTGGGGCCAGTTTGGGGCTCTTCAGGGTCGGCTTGAAGGCCATCTTGGGCGTCTTGGAGGCCTCTTGGGGCGTCTTGGGAGCCTCTTGGGCCTTCCTGCGGTCATCTTGGATGGCCTCTTGGACCGTCTTGTGCCGTCGAAAGCCTGAAATAGAGCAAAAAACAAAAATATAGGGTTAAACAATAAAGGACGACCAATGACTTTGGCACCGTCGGGCCTTCCTGTGGATCCTTTGGCAGGCCTCCTGGGGCGTCTTGGAGGCCTCTTGGGGCCCTCCTGGGCCGCCTTGGGCTATCTTGAGGCCATCGTAGGCCGTCTTGGGTGAATGTTGGGCTGTCTTGAAGACATCTTGGCGCCATCTTGGGGTCTCCTGGGGCCATCTTGGCGTCTTCGGACCATCTTGGAGGCCATCTTGGCCGTCTTGGCGCCGATGGGGTCAACGGAGACCGAAATTTGAGAAGCTTTCCGGGTGGCCGGCGGGCTGGGCCGAAGCCCCAGACGCCTCTCGAGACCCTCATTCACCAACCACCAAACCACCCCAACCCAACCCGAAGGCCTCAATTTGCCCTCCATTTCCAGTGGGGGGGGGTCGGGGAACATTCAAAAAACACGTGGAACCCGTACCCCCCTCAACCGGACATTCGGGCGAAATTCGGGTCTTCGGGTTGGGCTGGGGTGGTTTGGTGGGTAGTCACTCTTGGCCTGCTTGGCAGCGCTCGTGGCTCCTGCAAACGTATGCCGGGCGCGCTGGGGAACCGCGGGAGGCACGCTGGAATTCCCGACATTGGTGGAATTGTTGGGTCGGGGCCTCTTAGTCCCCAGTCCAGAGGATTGAGGACTGAGGACTACAGGACAAAGCACACTGTGGAAAACACACACAACCAAAAAAACATACACACACAAAGAAACCTATACGACCACCCTTCGGGTGATAAGGAGGTTCGGGGGGGGGGAACCAACGTCTCACTCGATCGGTCTCACTATCGATCTCAGTATCAATCTCACTATCGGTCTCGCTCGATCGATCTCACTCGATCGATCTCACAATCGATCTCACTCGATCTATCTCATTCGATCGATCTCACAATTGATCTCACAATCGATCTCACAATCGATCACACAATCGATCTCACATTCGGTCTCAATATCGATCTCACGATCGATATCACAACCACTCTCACAATCAACGTCATCATCATCATTATCATCATCATCATCATCATCATCATCATCATCATCATCATCGTCATCATCATCATCGTCATCAACATCATCAACATCAACATCATCACCAAAATCGTCATCATCATGAGGGCACCATCATCATCATCATCATCATCATCATCATCATCATAAACATCATCATCAACGTCAGCATCATCATCGGGACAGCATCATCATCATCACCATCATCATACCATCATCAACTTCATCATCATCATCATCATCATCATCATCATCATCATCATCGGGACACAGTCATCGTCATCATCATCAGCAGCATCATCAGAATCATCATTATAATCGGGACACCATCATGACCACTATCGTTCTCATCATCAACATTAGCATCAACATCGTCACCATCCTCGGGACACCATCATCATCATGACCATCGCATCATCATCGACATCATCATCATCAACAACAGCATCATCATCATTGGGGCACCATCATCATCATGAGCAACATCATCATCAACATCGTCATTATCATTATTATCATCTTCGGGACACCATCAGCATCACCATCATCATCATCACCATCATCATCATCAGCGGCATCATCATCGGGACACCATAATCATCATCATCATCATCAACATCATTATCGCCCGGACACCATTTCCATCATCATCATCACCAACATCATCGGATTCATCATCATCATCATCATCATCATCATCATCATCATCATCGGGACACCATCATCGTCATCATCATCAACATAATCATCATGAGCATCATCATCCTCATCATCGGGACACTATCATCATCATCGACATCATCATCATCTCATCATCATCATCTTCATCGGGATCATCCATCATCATCATCATCATCATCATCATCATCATCATCATCATCATCATCATCATCATCTCATCATCATCATCATCATCCTCGCGGGACACCGCGGGACACCGGCGGGACACCGCGGGACACCGCGGGACACCGCGGGACACCGGCGGGACACCGCGGGCCCCCGCCCGGAAGGGAGTCATTTGGTCCGGCCGCGCCTCAGCCACACGGGACACCAGCGGGACACCGGCGGGACACCGCGGGCCCCCGGCCGCCCGGAAGGGAGTCATTTGGTCCGGCCGCGCCTCAGCCACAGGAGATTTTCTCTCGCCCGCCCACGCAGCTTCGCCTCGCCCGCACGGCACGCACGAACACGAAACCGAAATCGATTTCCCGGTAGGGGGGCTCTCCGTTCCATTTCGATCTCACCCCCTCACCTCCGACACACAAACATACACACACACACACACACACACACACACACACACACACACACACACACACACGCACACGCGCACACAAAACACACGAAACTACAGACACACACACACACCAACTCGCGCGTGGACAAAAAAAACAGTGTGCTTTTCCACGGATCTGAGGGCACTCCGACTCGTGCCTCGGGGCACGGATGCGGCCATGGGGCTGCCTTGGGCCTCCTGGATCGAAATTTGTAGCCTCTGGGGGCGCAGCTCAGATGCCGGGCCAAGCAGGTTCTCGCGGCGGGCGGAGGCCGCCACAAGCCATCCTGGGACGTGTTGCCGTCTTGGGGCGGTACGGGGCAATCTTGGAGTCATCTCGGGCCCTGTCGGATGAACACCCGTTCCCCAGACCCCCTTGCGTTACGAACAAATCACGTCGAGGTTTTTCACTATTTTCGGCCTCTGGGGGCCCTTACTAGGCTCTGGCACCGTCCAAAAACTATTCAGGATAGAAAAATTCACAAACAGATCCTGGGAAGGGGTCCAGAGCTCTGGGGGCCGACTTTGTGAACAAAATCACGGCATCAGGGGTCTCGGTCAGGAGAGGCAGCGAGATTCTCTGGCAAGTCGAGGCCCTCGCCACCATGTCCACTGGCGAGCCGACGAGCCAACCTCGCCGTCAGAGACTTGCCGCGGAGAGTGCTCCTCCTGCTAGCCAGCCTACCAGCTAGCCTGCCAGACCACCTTCTGGCTAGCATGTCTTTCCCAGCACCATGAGGCAGGCCAAGGTTGCATTGCTACCCGCAGGGGGCTACTCGATTGAGCCTTGCTGGCGGAAGTCACTGTGGTCCCCAGTGGCGGAAATCAGCGCACGAATCTTCTATCAGGGGGCCTTCAGGGCAGAAATGTTTGACGGTACGGTCTCGGCGCGCGCGTGGCCGAACATACGAGGCAATTTTGGGGGCCGTCCTGGGGCACTGCTGGGGCCACCTGAGGCCTCTTGGGGCACTCGAGGGCGCCGCTTCGGAGGTCTGGGGCCGATGTGGGCCGTGTGACATTTTTGTGTGCGTGACGACGGGTCGAAGTTCAGCTTCTGGCAAGATAGTTGCATACACTTTAGGCGATGCTTAAGAAAACATAAGTTTTCGGCCAGAGTCTCGATTATTCTTAACGTTTCAATGTAAATCTTAAGATTTTAATAGAAGTGTTGGATTGTTACTCAAGTTCTGAGACTATGAATTTCTTAACCCATGATTTCTTAAGCATTTCGCAGGGTGTACACAGTTCAGCACTGGCGGGAGAGAGGGGTTTGCAGCACCGCTTCCCCGCCTCCGCAGCCAGTTGCCTCGTAGGCCCCACAGAGGGCCGTGATTGCAGCACGCATTCTGCACTGTACACGCGTTGAGTCCAGGACAAGTCATCATGGAATTGTCCTGGGACCATATTCAGGCCGTCCTGGGGCCGTCTGGGGAGCCTTTCGGCCGTCTTTGGGGATCTGATGCCCCTCCGGTGAGGGGCCTCGCGGAGGATCGGCATGTCTCTCTGGATTGCCAAGGGCGCTTCGTGTGTTGAGTTTCGTGCATGGTGGCTCGAGCGCGACTGGCGCAGGGCGTAGCGTGCCGATATCGTGCGCTACTAGCTGTAAGCAGCGATGACGTTGACGAACGTATTGTTGAAAGATGTTGCAGGCTACTCTGATACGAAAAAAGTTGCTGACGCTTCTGCGGGTAAGAGGCTCCTCTTGAAGATCTACGGTGAAATTCACGATGTCACTGATTATTCCTCCAGGCACCCTGGTGGCAAGTTATTGCTGGAGCAAGTCGCAGCTTTGGACTTGCCAGACGCGACTCCTTTGTTCGAAAGCTACCACGCTCTTGTGGATGCAAAGACGATGCGTCATGTTTTGAAGCCCATGGCTACTGGAGAGAAGGTGCCAGAGATGTACAGTTTTGAGCATGACGGATTCTATGCCACATTGCGCACACGGGTCAGCAAGCACCTTCGCAAAGTATCTGGGCAAACATGCAAGGCTACAGGAGACGGCTGGGTCCTTACCAAGTCCTTCGTTGCTTTTGCTATCCAGCTGCCTGTGGCACACCTCGTCGTCATCGTTTTTTACTCCATCTTTCAGCGCGCGAAGAACAGCATGACTTCCCGCCATCGGTACGGCATGTCACAGGGTGGTTGGAAAGTGTATACGCCGACGTGTCAACGTAGGAGCGTCAACTTTTCAGCCGCCTTGGCGCAAGCGTTCTTGATGACGGGAACTTGAAACATACAGTATTTCGTCTGGGTTTCTCTTTGGGGGCTTCTTAGGGGGGTGCTACCGGCCCGTCGGTAGTCCGTTGGTTGTCTCCGTTGTCTTAGACGCGATGATTATGCCGAGCGGGTGGTTTATGTGGCCGTGTGGTCGGAGCGATTGGGCCGTTTTGTTGCCCGCTTGTGCCGTCTTCGAGAGTTCCCGGGCAGTCTTGGAGCCGTCTCGGGGCTCTCTTGGCGCAGTTTGGGGCTGTCTCTGGGATGTTGTGGGCCCTCTGAAGCGTTCCCGACGCAGCCGTAAGCTGAAACGCCCCGTAAGCAAACAGCATAGATTTCTCATGGGTTCGTCCCATGCGTTTATGCTTTCATCATGGGGCTCGCAGGGTGAGGCCTCTTTGAGCGTTTCTTGGAGGCTTCCCGGGGCTTCATGGGGCATTTTTTCTTGGAGGCGTCTGGAGGCCGGAGACAGCGCCGTAGATCGGAGGCATGAGGGGGTCGGCTGTAGACACGTCATGGAATCCGGAGCAGACAATTGGCAAGCATTCTGACATCCCAGAGTCGTGCAAGTTCGATGGCGGATCTGGGTTGGTATGCTTGTCGAGAGCGTCGTGTTGGCAGCAAATGATTATGGCGCAGTTGAGGTGTGCTTATGTGCAGCGTGTGCAGGATTCATGCTGTTATCTTGGGGATTCATCATGTTCCACGATGCTTCACACTTTGCCGTAACAGGCCCAGCGTTTGATTCGATCCTATCAAACATTTGGAACGCATGCGCCTTCTGGGACCATATAGAGTGGCGTGTGCATCATGTAATATTTCACCACAGCTTCACAGGATACCCTGCACTGGATCCAGATATGCACCATGGTAGCCCCGTAATGCGCACACATGAGGCCCTCCCAAAGTATGGAGCTGGCAGCGCCTACATGTTGCTGGGGCCTCCGTTCTGGCAGTTCTTCGGGATGCTTCTTGTTCCAGGCATGTATTTTGGACAGATCATCCAGTACAATTGGATGAAGGCGCTGCCTCAATCCAGTCGTCAGCTCTGGACTTTAGACATGAGCAAGATCGAGTTCGACAACACTTGGTCCTTCGTATCGTTATGGGTGGTGTTGTGGTTCTCCGCGCTTGCCATCAAAGGATCGTTATTCGTGGCAGTGGCAGCTGTTAGTGCTTATTTCCTCGCAGCAAACGTCACTTACAGCATTAACATCTTCGCGGATCATGATGCGCACATTACGGATGAGGCATCAACGGCACATGCCAAGCATTGCGATTTGAAGAAGAAAAAACCAGATTGGGGTGAGACTCAAGTTGTTGGCTCAGCTAATTGGGGCGGCCCGATGTGGTCTTTTGTGTTCGGTGGCATCAACATGCAGATCGAGCATCATCTGTTCCCCAGAATCAGCCACAAGCACTTTCACACCATTGCGCCAATCGTACGTGCAACGTGTCAGGAGTTCAATGTCGAGTACAACCACTTTCCCACCTGGTGGGCAGCAGTTTCATCTGTATGGAAACAGGTTTGCAGCGTTCACAGCGCATGCGCTAGGGCAGATGCGGACGCTGCCGTCAAAGACGCGGCCCGCGTGTCCAAGTAGGGGTTTTGTTGATCACCCTTGGGGAAAATGGACCCTCAACAACAGGTTTTGAGTGTGCACGCTCGCCCGTCACCCAGGAAGCGACACGAAGGGCCCGTCATCCCTTGCGCCTTCGCCCGGCATCAACGCTGCTGAAGGAGCTGTCGCAGAATGTTCTCAGCACGTGATTTTTTACCCATCGCTCGAGGGAGCAGCAGGGCCCCAGCCCGCTCGCGCCATCCCGGCCCGCGCGGCCCAGGGACAGGTCCACCTGTGCCGGCTCCTCAGGCCTCACCGGCCGTCGTCTGGTGGGCACGAGCGTCGCGCTCGTCAATACGAAGCGGCCACACGTAAGAGTGACCTTGCGCCGGAGTGGCCTTTGGTGCGGGCTCACAGGGGTGGCCCCAGCTTTGGCCCGCGCGCTTGGATCTCGTCCCCTGAGCCGCGCACCAAAGGTGACTCTTGCCTGGGGTCACTTCTTGCGTGTGGCCGAATGAAGCGACGAGGGGCCCGTCTGCCCCTCGCCCGCAGCCTGAACGCTGCACGGGGAGTTGTCGCGCAGTGAAGCGGTCAGGAACTTCGGCGTGGCGTGTCGCTCAAGCAGTGACGAAGCGTCCTGGCTTGCTTATAGGGCCACCAAAGAATGTTCTGAGATCCTTTTGCGGTCTGCCCGACATGTTCTTAGAACGTTTCTGGCTGAGTCGGTCTTGTCTCAGCATCGGGCCTATGTTCTAAGAACACGGCTCCTGTTCTCAGAACATGTCCGGGCTCTGAGAACATCTCGTGGCAGGACTATAGGCATGCCAGGGCGGTCGGCCCCTGCTCAAGTCGTGGCGCCGGCTCTGGGCCACCATGCCCGAGCGCTCGCTGCCCGGGCTCTGTCCCCGCCTCCGGTACCCCTGTGGGGCGGGGTGGCGAGCGGTCCGCCCGCCAGGCGCGGCATGTCGCCGGCGCCTCGGCACGCGGCGGGCGGAGCAGAAGTTCCCGACCACCTCTCGGCAAGCGGAGGGCTTCTCCGAAGGGCTTAGGCGACCCGTCCTCCTCCTCCTCCGCCTCCTCCTCCGCCTCCGCCTCCTCCTCCTCCTCCTCCGCCTCCTCCTCCTCCTCCTCCTCCTCCGCCTCCTCCGCCCTCCCTCCCTCCTCCTCCTCCTCCACCTCCTCCTCCTCCTCCTCCTCCTCCTCCTCGTCCTCCCCCTCCTCGCGTCGTCCCCTTTTCAGGTCGCCTACGGCCCCGGGGGAAACCGTCCATCGGCAAGGGGCGTGCCAAATTTTAGTCGCAGCCTGCTTCCGGCGCGCGCGCCTGTGAAGAAAACATGATGGTGTGTGTGTGTGTGTTTCATCGCAGGGGAGCGCCGCTGCACTGGGGCCGGGGAACACTACATCCTATGCAGGGGCCACGGTCGCGCCTGTGGTTGTGTGTTGGCGAGGCCCCCTGGCAAAGGCGTGTTCTTCTGTCTTCCCCGAGCCACGGGGTCCTGCTGGGGACGACCCTGACGCGGACTCGCCCCTCGAGGCGGGGGCCTCCCTGGTGTCTCTCGGTCCATCTCGCGGGAGCCGCGCTCCTCATCCCAAGTCGTGTTTGTTTGGGGCAGCCCTTGGGCTCGGAGACGACCATGTCAGACTCCGGACGGGTTGCTTTTCTCGGTTCTCCCTCTGGGGGGGCATTTCTGGGCCCCCCAGGATCATCAAGCAATGATCCGGGTCGACGAAGCACCCTTCTGAGAGGGGGCGAGACGTTCGAGTCAGGCGGGTTGGAAAAACAATAGATCGGATGAGTGGGGCCAGGATGGACCTTAGGGGAAGGTTGTGGGGACCGATTTGCGTCAGGCTTCACAATGGAGGAAGAGGCGGAGGAGGAATAGGAGGAAGAGGAGGAAGAGGAGGAAAAGGAGGAGGAGGAGGAGGGGGAAGAGGAGGAGGAGGAGGAGGAGGAGGAGGAGGACAACCAGGAGGCAAGATCGAGGTCCCAGTGTCGAGAGCGCATCATTGGTGAGCACCTTCAGGACCCTTTTGTTCCAGGACACGTCTCCGTCGTTGCAACCCCCGTGCTCCACGGCGACGCCGCCGTCGCCGTCGCCGTCGTCATCCCGCCGCCGCCGTCGCCGTCGTGCCGTCGTCGCCGTCGCCGCCGTCCCCAGAGCCGACGCTCACTGCGGCTCCGGGGGGGCAGCACCGCCCGCCCCCGAGGGGGGCCGTGCCGCTCCCCCCCCTGCCTGGCCGCCCGCTCAGAGCGCGGCCGCGGCCGTCGCGCCCTCCGCCCTGGGCGCCTCCTCGCCTGCGGGCGGGCCGCGATCGTTACCTCACGCGGGCTGGCGAGGTTAGTGTGCCGCCTCCTGCTATGCTGCCGCTTCCTCCATCCATTGTCCTCCTCTTCTTCCTCTTCCGCCTCCTCCTCTTCTTCCTCTTCCGCCTCCTCGGCCTCCTCCTCATTATCCTCCTCCTCCTCCTTCTCCTCCCCCTCCTCCTCCTCCTCCTCCTCCTCCTCCTCCTCCGCCTCCTCTCCTCCGCAAGGTGCCAGGATGGCGCTCCCGGGTGCCGGATGCGTTATCGTTTCACCGGAAGGGGGGGGGTCCTTGATGGCTTCCCTGGGTTCGCTCCTCCCCGTCGCGCCCCGCAGCGTGTCGGCAGGGCGGCCCTGGCGTTTCGCCCGAGACGTCTTCGCCGCAGAAGGCCCCGAAGCTTAGAGTCTGCAGCGGCTCTGGGGGTGGAGGGCGGGCCGTTTGCGGAGCGTGGCCCTCGCCCCAGCGCCGCGCACGTTCGCTCGAATAGTTTGCAGGGGGCTTCACGGATGGACGGCGGATCGTTTTCAAAGTGTGGTTCTCGCCGTAGCGCCGCGCTCACTCGCCTTGAGAGCTCGCAAGAGCTTCACGGATGGAGGGCGGGCCGTTTCCCGCATGCGGTTCTCACCCAAGCGCCGCGCGCAGTCGAAGTACAAGCTTGCAAACGTTTTACGGATGGAGGGCTGTCCCTTTCCAAAATGTTGTTATTGCTTCCGCGCCGCGAGCATTCGTTTTATATAACGTCATGAGTTCCACAGTTGGAGCGCGGGTCGTTTTAAATTTGTGGTTCGCGCCTCAGCGCAGTGCGCATTCGTGCCAGAGGCTCGCATGAGCTTCACGGATGGAGGGCGTGTGGTTTCCACAACGTGGTTTTGGTCTTAGTCCCGCGAGCATTCGTTGTACAATGAAAGAGCGCAAGATTTTCACTGATGGGGACCCGCCACCAAAAACAATAAGCGGACACCTTCCAATGGATGGTTGATGGGCCTCAGGGGAGGATGGCGTCACCAGCGACTCTATACACAGCCGCCCTCCCTGAAGGTACATGCAACATCCGTGAAACGGTGCCGATATGTGTTTGTTCGCGGTGTAGGGACGGCGGTGTTTCAAACTGTGGGCGCCGCGCACATTCGTCTTGCAAATTTACAGCAACGTAACGGATAATGATGGCTGACGCCGCAGGAGCGGTGTTCCAGCGCGATTGGGGACTGTCAGGCTGCAGCGGTCACGTTGGTTCGCCATGTTGAAGTCCCAGGGATGGCGCTCTGGCACGATTGAGGGCTGCCAGGACAAAACAGTAAAGTTAAGTCGCACGAGGGGTGTTTTGTCACGATTTGGGTTTCCCAAGCGGTTTTCCTCCAACGGGGCAGTTCCAGCAGTGAAAACAACTTCGTGTAGTGACTTACGAAGAGGGAACTTGGAGGGAGGGTTCGTTGCAACTTCATTGATGCGTGTGTGGTTTGCAGTGGTCATCCTCCTCCTCCTCCTCGTCCTCGTGTCCACCTCACCCTCCTGCGCGGCCCAAGAGGCGCCGACCCCTCCCCCTGCTTCCCTGGGGGCAGCTTTGCGGCCTGGGCCCGTTTCTGATGGCCCCGGGGCCCGCTCACGGGCCTCCGGGGGCCGACATCGAGGCACGACGCCTGCATTGAAACGACAGGTCCTCTGAGATCCGGCTCCTCGCCGCCGCCGCCGCCGCCGCGAGCTGGCGGCCGCCGAGGGCGGCCCCCGCGCGGCGGCCCCGCCCGCCGCGAGGACTCCGTGGGCGGGGACGTCTCCTTCTGGGACTGCGCTGGCGGGCTCGTGGCGAGGCCGCGGCCCCGGCGCCGTCCTCGCGGCCGCCCGCGGGCTGGCCCTCGGAGCCCCCCCTCGGCGGCCGCCGGAGACCCTGGGGGAGGTCGTCGGCGGCCCTCCGAGGCCCTCGCCGGAAGCCGTCGGAGGCCCTCGAGTCCGAGGAGGAGGGAGGTGCCGCGGCCTCCGGGCCTCCCAGAGGGGGTCGGAGTGGATGGCGTCGGAGGATTGCGCCGCATCTCCGTGCGGAGCCCGATTTGCTCCATGCCGGCGTCGCCGGATGCATCGCCGACGTCGTCGGCACATCGCCAATGCATTGCCGATGCATCGCCGATGCGCCGCCGATGCATCGCCGATGCATCGGCGATGCGACGCGATCTTCCGAGCGCATCAAGGAGGCCGCTGATGCCGCTGCTCGTCCTTGGGAGCTCCTCGTCGCCGCGGCTGGGTTCTCCTGCACCCCATGGATCAGGAGGGAAGCAAAAACACAGACACAATTCATCGTCGATCCCCGGGAGAGTATGGGAAAAGATGGGAAGTGGGGGGGAAGACGAGAACCCCGGAAATATTTGGAACCTATGGAAGATCCTGCTATTTGTGTGTATTTGTCTGCGTGTCCTTGGGCCCCTTCGGTGGAGAGGTCCGAGGGGTGCCGCGGGAGCGCGGCCACCCCGGCCGAGGGTCGCGGGGCCCAGGCCCCGGCCGCAGGCGGCGGGCCGCGGCGGGGCCAGCGAGAGCGGGGGGTGCCCTCCCGAGCTCGGCCGTTCCGCTGGCTCACGGGCTGTGGCCTGGCATCCCCAGCGGGCGCGCAGGCAGAGGTCAGCGGGTGCGGCGGCGCTGCGTGCACGAGTCGCAATGAGTTCGTCGGGCCTGTCCCTCGACAGGGGGAGTATTCAAAAATAGTCAAAACATAGTCTCGAGACGATTTGTTTAAAATGTTGTTTGACAATTCTGGAGTCTTTTTATATATATATATATATATATATAATCATCGCAAATCCCCCTGTAGGGGGACAGGCCCGACTTAATATTAGCACCCCGCAGATGCGGATAAGAGTGAAGAGGGCGGTGGGGACGTCGGCAATCTGCGAGGCTCTGGAGAAGCCCGCCGCAGGCGTCAAAGTTCCCACGAATTGCACAACGAGCCCGCCGCAGGCGCAGGTTTTTTCGTGAAACCAATGTGGGTAGGTCGCGGGTGGGTCGCAAATTGGTCGCGGGTGGGTCGCGGGTGAGTTGTTGTTGAGTCGCGGTTTGGTCGTGGGGTGGGTTCAGGATGGGTCGCGGGGTGGGTCGCAGGTGGGTCACAAGTGGGTCGCGGGTGGGTCGCGGGTGGGTCGCCGATGGGTCGGTGGGTGGGTCGCGGGGTGGGTCGCGGGTGGGTCGCAGGGTGGGTCGCGGGGTGGGTCGCGGGGTGGGTCGCGGGTGGGTCGCGGGTGGGTCGCGGAGCGGGTCGCGGGGTGGATCGCGGGTGGGTCGCGGGGTGGGTCGTGGGTGGGTCGCGGAGCGGGTCGCGGGGGGGACGTCGACAACAAACAACAACAACAACAACAACAACAACAACAACAACAACAACAACAACAACAACAACAACAACAACAACAACAACAACAACAACAACAACAACACTACCCTCCACTACGGCACTCGAGTGGCGACGGTGGGAGTGGCCCGCCTGCTGGCCGATCTCGCGGAGAAGGGGGACCCCACCTTCTGGGACACGATCAAGGCCACGGGCAAACCAGTCTCGATTTGGGCTCCCTCCACTGCGTCAGCGCTGGGTCGATTGATGGCTTCACTGTTGCGCCGGGGCGCCAACGAGGTCCCCTGCGCCTACATCCGGTTCCTTGTCCCGATGGATTTGCACCCGGGTTGCACCAGTGTCGAGTCCATCTGCGATCTTTGGTGGCACGAGCTCCTGGGCGACAAGTGGCCAGGCATGACCCGCAACGTCGAATTCCACCCGCAACCGCTCGAGTTCATCTCCCCTGGCCCTGCGGGTCCCCGCCACGAGCTACGCGGCCTGGCGATCTTCACGATATCCTCTTCGCTACTCCGCCAGGCGCCTCGCGTACGTGACCTGGAGGTGCCAATCTTGTCGACGGCTGCGCTTCCGACATACTTCATGGACTTCCCCTCTGCCGTCGGCCCGGAGGTCATGCACCTCCTGCACGGCGGCCTGGATTCATCTGCGGCCGTCGGACGCATATACCGCAGCCCCGGCCACACGACGGAGACGCCCCGGGGCCGAGTCGAGATTCGCTTCGCCAACCACACGTCCTCCCTCACCAGGGAGCTGCTGATGCGCCGCATTCGAGGGCGTCTCCCGGTCGGCGTTTGCTTTGCCTCCGTGGACCTGTTCACGGACGCGGGCTCCCTCTTAGCCGAGGTGGGCCATGCGGACGCCATCAACACGTTCTGGAACATGTGTTCGGGGGCTATTTTCCTCACCAAGTCCACTGTCCTCCTCACCACGGAGTCCGCCCCCGAGACCTGGCAGACCACGATGGACGCTATGCTGCGGAACGACACGGACTCCGCGATCCTCAAGCTCAGGCATCGCCCCTCCCGCCATGGAGGTCGGCACTTCGCCACCCCGTCAGCCCTCCCAGCAAGGCTGGCGGCCACGCGCCGTGCCAAGCAGACGAGGGGAGGCTCGACGACCCTCCAAGCCATCACGGACGTCGAGATCAAAGGGCACCTCCATGCGGACGAGCATGCGCTGGTGCAGTCCCTCATGCAGCATCTGACCGTGCAGACGGGCCTCCACCTCACGGAACAGTCCACCGCCGGGGGCCCCAAGATGAGCTCATGGAAGTGGTTGTCGGCCTCGGACCCCTCTGCACCACCAGGCCGCGCAAGACTCTTCTTGAAAGACCTCTCGGAGGTCCAGAGGGTCCGCAACGCGCTCCACGACAAGAGCATCCGGGTGGGAATGGACACTTTCAGAATTCACGTGCACAACGATTTGCAGGACCAGGTCGGGGGCGCAGACGCCGCTCGGTGACTAGCCCCTGCTGGGGCTATTGCCTGGGCAATCGACGACTCAGGTTGCATGCTCCTCATGGTGGACGTCGCGTTTTACCTCCTGGACCTCGCGCCCACGAGCTACTGCGCCAACGCCCACGCCGGGGATAATTCGAATGCCGCTGCTGCTGTCCCCCATCGTCTTCCTCCATTTCTGCCTCCCCTTCCAGACGGGCAAGCACTACAGCTCCGCCAACACCATGATGTTCCACCATCTCTTCTTCAACGAGCTCTCGTTCGACGAGCGTTGGGCGTCTCTCCACCGACATTTGTCGAGGGTCCCAGGCCTGCCGCACCGAGGACTCGCCCGCCGGTGCCGCAATCGGAGGTGGCGGAGCATCCGTTTCGAGGAGATTTTTCCATCTGCACATGGAACGCGCAGGCACTCTTCGCCAAAGACGCGGTCCGCCACAGCCTGAAGTGGGGGAAGTTGTTGCACCTCTTGCGGGACCACGACGTCGTCACGATCACCGAGTCCCACGGCACGAGCGAGTCCTTGCAGCTAGCCCAGGCCCCTCCCGGCACCATGGCGTGGTGGGCCCCGGGCACATCTCGCCGAGGAGGCGTCGGAGTGGTTGTCAACGTTTCCTTCTTGCAGCACTTCCCCATCCGGGACTGGATCATTCTTCACCCTGGGCGTGCCGCCGTACTCCGACTGGGTGGTCCGCACGGCTCGATGGATATCTTCGCGTCGTACTTCCAGACGGGCACCTCCGCTGACTTCGCCGGCCCCGTGGCTGAGCACGCGGGGGCCCATCGGATGGAGGTGCTGGACGTTGTCCCCCTGGTTCAGCAACGCGGCCAGCTTCGCTCCACCATAGCGCGATCCACGCGGCCGTCCCACGACGCCCTCACCATCATCACTGGAGACTTCAACTGGGTCGCCGAGGAGCGGGACAGAATCTCGAAGACCACCGGGGCTGCCACGGGGCGTCGGGACCACGAGGAGGAGGTGCACTGGGCGCGCCTCCTGCCGGGCTTCGCCGAAGTACACCAACCATGCATGACGCATAGTTCCGCCCAGGCTCGCTCGCGCCTGGACCGCATCTACGTGAACATGGAGGCCGCGGATCTGCTTGATCGACAGGTCGCAATTGGGGTGGACGACTGGAACTTCCAGCTGTCCAACCACAGGGCCGTGTTCCTTTCGCGCCGGGCGCCGCCGCCAAGGCCATCGACCTCCAGGCCCATTTCTTCAGAGTTGGTTCGACGTCCAGGCTGGTCTCAAGCCGTGGCACTTCGATTTCATTCCCTCCTCGAGGGAATGGCCGACGTGAACGAGGTGCAACGACTCGCAGCCCTACGTCGGGCCATACGTGACGCATCCATCTCCGCGCTAGCCGCCTGGCAGAGGCACCGGACGACAAGCTGGGACGTACCATGGCGTTCATCAGAGCAGTGGAGTCCCATTCCACTCACGCGATCTCGGCGGCGATCGAACGGCATCCGCACCTCTGTACCTTGGTGCCCAACCCATACGACCCGTCTCTGGCGACGGGAAGGCGGCTCGCCCCGGTCAGGGAGCACGCAGTCGAGCTTGCTCGCGAGCACGCGATCGCGGAGCTCACGCGTCTTCAAGAAGCACCTTCGGACTTCCCTGAGGAGCTCAAGCATCGCGCCCGCCAGAAGAACCTTCGACTCTTGTCAAAGCTGTCGCCTGGGAAGGGGAAGTTTGTTTCGGCCACGCGAGACAAGCATGGGGCGCTCCACGCGCGACCCGACGAGATGGCCGCAGATTTCCGGGCACACTGGAGGCAGGTCTTTGCCAAGAAGTCGACCGACCAGGCGCTGCGACGACGCTGGTTTCAGGACGACCTGACCCCTGAGGTGCTCGCGCCGTTGCCACCGGCGGACTCGCCGCAGTGGCAAATCCGCCGCGAGGACATCCAGAAGGCCATTCGATGCTCTGGCTCGTCGGCCCCGGGGCCCGACGGCATTCCGGCGGCGGCCTATTGCGAATTGGGCGAGTTGGGCGTCGACGTGCTATTCGGAGCTT